GCCTAATTCCAAATTTATTCTAAAGAGAAAGACAATGCAGAAATCCTTTTCTCACATCTCTTAACCAACATAGCTTGGGGACAGGTTCTACCAGTATCTGTTTAAGGATTGGCTGAGGATGTGGTGCGGGAGGAAAAGTTGCAGTTGGCAGCAGGCAGAAAGACACTGCAAGGGGAGCGGGGGGTTCACAATAAAGGATTTTAAACCAAAGCCTCTTTGGTAAAGAGGAGGGAGGGAGGGAGGAAAGAATGGGGCTGTGGGGGCGGTGGATAGATACAGGATGACACCAGGTCCAGATTAACCCTAATCTCAGGCCTGGTGGTTTAGGTGAGGCTGAGGGACTGAGGAAGCTGTCCCATGCCAGGTGGTCATGAGGAGGTTGAAACTGTGAGAGGGTGGGGGTCACTGGTAGGATGAGGACAGGACAGGGTGTCACTAGGGAAGACAGAGAGAGAGAGAGAGAGAGAGAGACAGACAGAGGGAGAAAGAGATGCGAGACGAAAGAAGTATTTCGGTAACTCGGCTTTCAGCGTGCTTTATTCGGATAGAAATAAAACCCCAAATCCAAAGTGACCGACCAAAGAATCAGAAACAGGGACAATGTTAGGGAATCGGGGTGGGGGCATTGCACAGCTATAGCAGAACAGCCGGCACTGTGACGGTGGCTGCAGGGTGATTGGGTGGTTGGTGCATGGTGACAGTGGCACATGCCCTGGTGCATGGGATTAGAGGGACAGTCAGTAATCTGCTGTTTAGGCTGTATGTAGGGCAAGAGTGGCTTAGCCCAGCCACTCTTAGCACGGCTGGAGCGGCAGAGCGAGAGGGAGAGGAAGTGGACTGGTGTTACATAGCTGCACTTAGCTCGCTCTAATCACCTCTTGTTTTCTTTGTGTTCATCTGTATCTTTCCTCTCCCGCTACTTGTACCTGCATCGGGCAACCTATGATATAAATGCAACAACTAATGTGCAAATGAGTCATGATGATGATTTTGAAGGACAATAGAGAAGAGTCAGAGAGATTTTACACGGAAAACAATCACATTTAATCACATACCGCAGTAGGTAAACTATACCCAACAGCATATAAAGCTGTTAAATTATTCTTCCTCTGCCTGGTATTTATGTTTACAACGTCTTCAGAACTTCTGGAGAAAATGATTGGTATGAAAGCAAATAGTTCTGAAGAAAATGCGTCTGATATTTGACTAAATTAGACAAAACTGGGTAATACAAAAATTGTGTAATTTTCCCAACAACGCAACTGTATATTGAGCCGAAGAGCACGACTCAACAAGTTTATTAAATTTTATTGAAGGTACAAACATCAAACAGAGATCCAATATAATAAAGTCGGAAGAGTGCAGGCGAGGGTTCGTGAGAAAGAGTCCCAAAAAAACCATGCCTAGCAGAGCTTCTATTAAACTTCAAATCTAGTCCTTAACAACCTGCAATACTGTTTAAAGCAGGAGCTCTCCAGATGTACAACCTAAGCACCCCTTACACTGCAAACATTGTACAATGAACAAAAATCACTAATTATTTGAACCACTGAAATAGCAAATCCAATACTTAGAGAAAACAATGTGCTGCTACACTAACAATTAGCAGACTGTCTCTTCAGAAGTGGAAGTGCATCCCACCCGAGTATCTACTCGTCAAATGACAGGAAGACACAAAAAGAAATGGCCATCGAAACAGGAGTGCCTAATGTTTGTAATCACTGCTGAACAGGAAATGGTTGAGAAACAGATGCACTTCGTTGGTTGAAAGAACACAATATATAGTAAACTGTCATGGCTGAGAATATCTATGAATAAATGCAATATTTTCTGTTTTGCTGCCACTATAAGCTTCTGTGATTATAAGATAAGAAAGAAATTGAGGCTTCTAGAGCTTAAAGGATTAATCGATTACCTGATCGACGGAAAATAAATCTGCAACTATTTAAATAATCACTTGGTCTAGAAGTCAGTTTTGAAGCAAAAAGGCCGATCAGTAGCTTCTAAGATGTGAGTGAATATTTGATGATTTATTTGGTCTTAGGAGGGACAATCAAGGTTATTGCTATTGATTTTGTACTTTGTGTAAACAAAGTTCATTGAAATTAGAGAGAGAATGTTATATTGCATGTCCCCTGGTATAACATACCCTACACTGTCATATACGTTCTCAGAACCACTACACTTCTGTATTACAGTTTACAAATGTCACTGTGGTGTTGTTTAATATACAGTATGCATGTACCTTGAGAGCAACAACATACCTGAGTCAAATTCCTCGTATGCGTTCACAGTTGGCCATTGAAGCTCATCCTGATGGCCTACACAGAATGTGCATTTCCTTCCCTTGTGGAAAGCAACTGAGAGACACAACAACCATCTTGGAGCGGCACCACCATGCAATCCCCTCTCAGCCTTCCATGCCAAACAACCCCCCCCCCCCCGCCCCCCCCGTGCACCCCCCCCCCCCCTCCCCATCTCCTCTCTCCATTTTCCAATGAGCCAAGTGATTTATGTCAAGTGAAGTCAAGCATGGGCCAGCATATGAATCAAAATTTGTCAAGTTGGCTTTTCCTACTCAGGTCTATGAATTGATACGGCTCAGTTTTGAATATGAATCCCCAGAGTGCGCCGCGTTGCTTTTAACTGACTGGAGCTTCAGCCGAGCAATCAAACCCTTTGTTTTTTTCACACCATCCCACAATCCCACCTGCTTCGGCGAGACGATGGAGGGCCCTTTGAAAACAACGAGGCGGCATGATTTATTATTCTAATTAGGCGAAGTGAGACTTTAGCAAAGCCACAATTACACTAAATCGCCAAAACAGTTTTCTGGTTGGCTGGCTCCTGTTTTGTTCAGATGTTAATCAGAGGCAGCTATTGAGTCACGGTGCAAACCGCATGTGAGTCACACTATTGCTTTGTAATATCTTCCACAAACAAACAAACGCTCGAGTCCTGTTTTGAATTGCAAACAATCATTTGGGCTTATTAAATGAAATTGCAGTTAACTGTCTAAACCAACATGAACATACAGCTTTCTGACCATCCTTCAATCACACAGAGGGCTTAACGTGCCACGATACCCGGTTAAAATCCACTGCGGTGTTTAATTCCAGGTCATTTCATAATCTCTTTGATACTCACTCACATCTGCACATCTCTTCGCTCTCACTCACTGACAATCAAACAGCTGCAAGCTGGCATACTCACTAAATCCTCTGGTGCAGCACACAAACCACACACACACACACACACACACACACACATACACACAAACATATGCAATCACCCACCACATACACACACATACACCAGGGCCCATTAGAAAGCATGCAGACAATGGTGCCCACAAGCTCATATACTCACATGCCTACATGCGCACGATCACCCAGACGCAATCACTTATGCATGCGAGTGTACACACACACACACACACACACACACTTCTACTCAAACTGCTACCGCACTCATGCAAAAAGACGACTTTATTCAGTGCAGATATTCTTCTGAATTAAAAGTCCTTAATCACAGCACACCGCAGAGACATGGGGGAAATACTAAATGTATTAATTTGTTAAAGGAACTCACATATGCATTCACAGATGCACGCACAGGGAGGAAATTATTACGCACACCGTGGTTCCCATCCATCCCTGTGTCTCTCATCACCTTTTTGTCCCCTCCTCCCCTTTCCCCTTTCCACTTCCTACATCCCCACACATCCCCAAAACACCCCAATCATCCTGCATCAACAGGCATGTGAACCCAGTGTTCGGTTCATCTCTCTCTCTCTCTCTCTCTCTCTCTCTCTCTCTCTCTCTCTCTCTGTGCCTGCTCTATTTTCATCTGTGTGCTTCCACTCTCCTAGCTTTCGGGTAATTACCTGGCATTTGCATTGCAAAGTCCCCTGTGCCGCCCTCAGCTCCTCCGCAGGTGATTGAGCTTCATTCCCCCAGCAGATAAGTGAGCGAGAAAGGAGAAGAGAGAGGAAGAGAGAGGGGGAAAGGGGGTATTGCAGCAGGGTGTGATTTTTATTCTGGCTTGCAGGATATATAGGAACAATGCCCTGGACTCTTTGTTACTGGTAAATTGGCTGGTTCAAAGCATGCACAAGATGTTCCCACGCGTAAATAATTGCCCTTGTGACGTTCACATTACTGGTCTGGTTCCATCTATAACAGAATGTGGAGCATATCTTGCTTTTGATGACTGAGGCACATCATCAACATTCCGACTTTTTTGAAGACTTTGGACTTTTTTTTACACTTTTACAGCAAAGTGTTGTGATTTGTTTTTTACCTCAATGCGGTTGGTATGCCTTACTGTAATTGAACATATTGACTGACCAGCTCACTCAAAGGGAAACATATCATGTTATTAAAGTTGTATGACTTTGGCATTTGTCAACGGATACGACACAACCAACCTGAAAAGGATTAGTAAAGAGCAGAACATCTCTACAAACATAATAAATGTGCCTTTTACGCTCTTTCATCATACCACACCATACAGGTGTAGCTACATACGGTTCAGGTTTAAGTTACAAAAGACAAATGCAGGCTACATTGAATGGTATATATAGCCAAAAGAATATTTTAAGATGTGCTTAAATAACTTATATGGTATAGTTTTAAACGGATAATACATCAAACGGATGCTCTTAAAAAAGCATGGTCAGTAGTGAGTGGCAGCTATCATATACAGGCAGACTGAGCACTCTCTATTTTTTTCACAATTTAACACATGCAGGGCTCTTAAGCCATTTTGTAGGCTATTAACAGAGGACTCATGCAGCGGTTACCCTTCAGGTTTAACCCTACACACACATTCCTTGAAGTAAAATGAACCACAAAGCGAGACCCACCCATCCATCCATCCATACATCCAGCCATACTCCAACCCCATCTACCAGGAGCACCTCCCACCGAACGAGAGCTCATAATTGGCGCGAGCTCATTTGCATGCGGAACGGCGTGGATATTTATTTCAATTTAATTTCGTTCCCGCACACAGTGCACTGTAGGCTTTTGTGCCAAAGTCATATTAACCCCTTGATTAGTTAATATGCAGCGCACGACGTTGCCCACGCACGATGAATATTCATATCAGTGGCGCTTTCGCCGCCGTCTCTCCACCCCTCCCTCCCTCTCTCTCTCTCTCTCTCTCTCTCCCCCCCCCCGTCCCCCCGCCGTAAAACCGATGGCGGCATCCTGGAAGACATTTTCACAGTTGTTCCCACAAACACAAACTGTTTGGTTCCTTCTCGTGTCTGTGTCGCTCGCTGCCGCTGACTCAATGGCAGATCAGACTCAGCTGCCGAGCAGAGACCGCGCTCTGAAAGGAAGGGAGGAGAAAATGGTCGTGGCAGGTAAATAACGCGCGGTGACAAGTTGTATCCAAAATGATGGAGTTGTCCCGAGCTGACAGCTGGTGAACTGTCCACGTGTCATAAACGCAGCCGAGTGACCTCAGAAGACTTAACGTAAAAAGATAATGGCAGGGGAAATTGCCTCCTGTTTTATTCAGGGATATAATAATTGCATTAAGTGGTGTTAATATGTTCAGTTGTGATTATTAATTTAAGACGGAGGTATTTGAAAGAGGCTACTCATTACACTGAGCATTGCACATAACCTACATAATGTCTGTGTGTATGTGTAGGCCTATGTTATTCATTTATATTGGGAATAACATTACAAAGTATGTTTTATTCAATTTTAATATTTGCATCTATGTTGAATGTGTGTGTGGCATAAAGGGGCTATAACTCTCCGCCTGCACATATTTGGGTTTGCGTTCAATATGTTCGTTGTGCTGTACTGTTATTACCTGACGTTGGATTAAGTAGTGAATATACACTGTAGCTTTAGTGGCAGAATGATAATCAAAGTTTACTTCCTTTATGAACAGCGATTTCTCCCATTAAGTTATGGGTATGTGAACTTAATAGAGCTGCATACTTAACCTTTTCAAGTATGCCCAAAGCAGTTCTCAGCACTCTTAGAAATACACTGGTGCTCAATGTTTATAAAGTGTTGTCTTAAGAAAGATTGGATTGCCATTTTCTTGGTTTTGATCCGTACTTGCGATGTAGCACCGAGTCATTTCTGCTTTTCATCGTCCTAGTTAGGGTCAGCCGGGCCGTGGCGAAACATGGTGCGATTCGAACCTTGGCCCCTGTTTTCACCTGCTCGGACTGAGGACGTCCACAAAGTGCATTGTGGGAGCTGGCTGTGATTGCATAGGAGGAAGCAGTGCCGCAGCGTCCAGGGGCCCATCTGGGCATTATGCGCATGAAGGCTCCGCCCCGTCGTAAGTTCCTGCTCCGTCTGTCGAAGCAGCTCGGAGACACCGCATGGCAGAAATCTGTTCCTCCCCTTACACCGTGGGGGGCAGCTTAGGTGGGCTTGTTCGTGTGTGTGTGTGTGTGTGTGTTGGAGTAAGCATGAGTAATTTAGGGATTGCAAGGACTGTCTCCACATATGCCCTGTGCGGTCCCAGCCTTGTGTGTGAGTGCACACATTTGTCCTCTCTCTACATGAAGATCACTCATTTTGAAAGTTGCCTCTACCCCTCCAGCCTCTTTAAAGAAGCTCCTTGTTCAGACTTCCCGATGCCTTGCGCTCCCTCCCTCGCTGCATGCTGTATAATGTACTCTATGACCTTGGCGAGAATGATCCAGTGGCAGATTGCTCCATGGTAGGGGCACAGTGGCTATTATTTTGAGTCAGTGCAGGATAGACTGCCAATATTTCTTCCAAACAGGATGGGGGAGGTCAGTTGACCAAAATCAATCTCTGTAACGTGCTTCACTATAACTCTTCAAAGCAGGTTCATGGTGAAGATATATATCTGGCATTATCTCTCTGTTGTTTTCCCATCTCTACTGTCTCAAGATGCCCTTGTTTTTTGGGCTTTTGCAATAAGCTCAGAGGGGAAGAAAACTATGTGGAAATTTGGAAAGTGTGCTACTTATGCATACAATCAGTAGATAAATAGATAGAGATGTGCTCTGCTGGCACAGCGCTGTTGCTAAATGATAAGTACTGTTTAGTGCAAAAACATCCTGCGTTGTTACCCAACCTAAAATGTGGATTGTTTTGGGATTGTGTATGTTCACCCCATGTCTGCATTGGTTTCCTTCAGCGGCTTCGCTTCCATACCGCAGTCAGTAAGGTAAATTGAAGACCCTGAATAGTGTATCCTGCATCTTGCCCATTGCATGCTGGGATTGACTCTGGCCCCCTGCGACACTGGAAAGTATAAGTGGTATAGAAAATGTTGCTCTGGTATCTCTGCAAACAGACACGTAAAAGGTTGTTTTTAGTATGATGTCCCTTTTACTTTTAAGCAGTTAAAAAGCGAGATTCATTTTTTCATTCGTGCTGACCAGGTGGATGCCATCCTTGTCTTTCCTCGTCAGATCGATGTTTGAGTAAAGATATCCGTGCAGGCACCAACAGGATGTGCCTCCATCTTGCTTGCAGGGGATAATGGAGCCAGTGGTATAGTAGGTAGTCTTCTCCATAGCAACTGTTTCCGTTGCTAGGATACAGTACGTATGGATGCATGGATGGCTTCAAAGTTGTGCTCCTCAGAGACCGTTTTACCCCCCTGAACAGCTATCAGTGTATGTAAGTTCTTATTACAGTTGGGTTGTTTTTAGGCCACAGCTAAATCGTTTGTTTTACTCACCTTTTTACTGTTCTTAAAAAGCGACCACCTCTAACCAGCCTTGCCTCTTTCCTTCCCCCCACCCCCCTCCCCTCATTTGCCCCCACTCTGTCTCGCCCCTACCCATGCTCCCATACAGCAGAGGGTAGTTGGCACCAGTATAAAGCTTCAGCCTCCTCCGACAACTCGTGCCTGACTCTCTGCCAACCTGTGTGAAGCTAGAAAGAGGAATAGCGAGAGGGAGGGAAGAGGAAGAGAGAGAGGGGAAAGGGAAAGAGAGAGAATGGATTTTTGGAAGGAAATAAACAGAGCAGCCTGGAAATCGACCTCTCCGTCACCAGTTTTGGCATCCAGCGATAGTACCTCTCCCGTGTCTCTGCATGAGGGGGCAGCAGCGCTTGGACTTCAGTTTTGCGGGTGAGAAACACAGGACCAGGGGTAGAGTCGAAGGGTAACAAAGACTAAATACCAATCCGAAACAGTTCAAACTGGACGTTGTTATCCGCTAAGCAACAGATTGTTGTGCCCTTGACTGATGGTAACCATGATACAAGCAGATCGGTCGGGTCCGATGTTTTGGTTCGGGTCCTGCCACCTACAACCACCAAGCTAAAGGCATCAAAAGCTGACCAAAGTATTCCGCTTCAGTCCCGCTGTACTGTATAGCCTGCACTGCGCTTTCCAGATATCCTCAAAAACAAAGGCGCACAAAAGAAATTACGCCCATATCTCATCCAAGTTGGGAAAAAAAATCCTTTTCCTGAATCCTTCCCCCATATTCAGCCTGTTTTTCTTCTTTTGTAAACTCAGTCAGTCACCCTCCCTGCTTGTTTTTTTGTCGTCCTCTGTTCTTTCTTTTGCTGGCGTAGTGAGGCAGCGTAGTGAGGGTATTCAGCCAGTTCTTTCTCTGTTAGGTGGGGTAATTCTGGCAGAATGGGGTGTGGGCGCTGGGCGGGCAGGGGGGAATGCTGGGCTAAGCAGAGTGAAAGGAGCCAGCCTGGCACCACCTGGACCTCTGCCAGCTGCTCCATGGGAGAAATACCCACAGCAGAGGCCGGCGTGCGAGGGATTGTGCGGCTGATTGCGCGCTTGCGTGCGTGCGTGCAGGAGGGTGTGCACGTGTTTGTAAGTGGAGAGTGAGGGATGATGGGAAGGTGTTGTGAGGGTGTGAAGCGAAGATGAGGAGCGGCTGAGATAGACGGGAGGGCGGGGGAGGGGAGGGGGGGCAGGCAGGCAGGCAGGCAGGCAATCGGAGTTGGCTCCTCTGGTCAGTGCTGTGTCGGCGTGTTCTTGGCCGTCTTCATTTTCACCTCTCTTTTTTTTTGTTTGTTTATTTGTTTGCTTGTTTGTTTTCTCTGTGTTCTCTCTTGGATGAAGTGCTTGGTCTTTTTATATAGCGCCCAAAGGCATGGTGGTCTGAGAGCCAAAAGAATCCTTCGCTGCCTCTCCGCTACCCTCATCTGTTGCTTCTCACTGGCTATTTACTCCTTTTATTGTCTTGGCAGGCTGATCTCTCGTCCTCCCACTCCTCCTCCTCCTCTATCGCACACTTGTCTCTCTCTCTCTCTCACTCTCACATTTTCTCTCTCCGTCATTTGGCAACTTCAGTACTTTTTGTCTCTGTGGCCAAAATATGCCGGACAAGAGGGTGAGAGTGAGCAGAGGATGAAGACTAAACAAATTCACAGAAGAAGGATGCAGATTTCTCCTGTACGCCTACCACCTTAAAGTCACCCTTGTGGACTGAGAATATGTAGCCACTACACTCACTGACACAGATATACTTTGATTGCAGCCGACTGTGCCTGTGAACATGACCTGGCAGCGTCAAACAACCTGGTGCTGAAAGACAGAACTGTCGCTCAACAGGAGGGCAGGAAGTGACTGCCTGAAGGCAGCCCAGGCCTCTGTGACATTTTAGAAGTCATTCATGCTTCTGCAATCTGGTACTGCACAGGAAAACCAAAGAGTTTAGTCTAATATCCAAAAGTGTCCTTAAGGTGGCACACCAAGATAGGTGTTATCAGCTGAAGTGCTGTGCTGCTTCTTTTGCTTCCTGTATTCTTCAAAATGCTTGTTAATCTTTAAGGTCAAGGCGTTTCACTCTTTTCAATGCTTCTGTGCTATCTGGCTTCACAGTAATCACTCAGTCTGAAATAAACTGCAGGTATCTGGTCTTTGGCCTGTTTTAACAGTTATAGATCATCCCGGGCCTCTCTAGGAAATGAACTATTATGACAGATTAGAGATTGTTGGTATTCAGGTCAATGTCACACATCACATCTCTCATCGGCCAGAGAGCACTCACACATTGAACTCGGAGCAAGCATCCATTGGAAGTATGTGCCTAAGCTCTTAGTGTACCCTGTGGCCTATTTATCTGGAGACTAATATTAGTAGTTGCAGTACAAACCAGCCTTGCTTAGTGGAGATTTGCACGCTAAGTCAACTCAGTCTTCTTAAACCCTAATCCTCCTCACATATCTGTGGGCTACACACACACACACACACACACGCGCGCGCTCACTTCCTTTTTAGCGCTTTAATTCCATGCACCATAGTTGGCAGTAGAGTGCCCCCCCCTCCCCTGCCATCTCTCAGCACTCCAGTTTGTTTTACTTATCGGGTATTTTTAACGTGGTGAAGATTAGGAGGGCAACGGGTCTACACGCGAGGCTGTCCCCTGCTCGTTAGGTCAGGCAGGCACGTGCCCCTGAAGCGTCGTCATTGGTTTGCTTTGTGGACACCCACTGGTGCCAAGCCTAGCACTTAATACACTCACATTTGAAGGCGTATAGTAGAGTAAGAGACATATCAGGAAATAACTGTGATAGTGCTTAATTGTGGGCATTGAGGAGAGGACAGCAGGGGTAGAATGGCGGTCAAAGCCGTGTAATCTCTTAACTGTCTTCCAGCACAGAAGCCTTTGATCCGCTGGCCTGGGTTAGCCTATAACGAAGTGCAGACCTATGAGGCCTAGCCGAGGCCGCCAGTGGGCCCCCGCACACACATGCTGTGAGTTGTGCTGTTCAAATACGGTGTCGAGATTTGATTTCACACGGATTTCACTTTACAGACAAACATGCAGCCAATGGGAATCCCACTGTGGAGCCTTTTCCAGAAGGCATGGAGACCATCATGCTTGGTAAGACTGCATAATCCCCAATTTGTGTAATCACAATGAACCCAATATGGAATCCTGTTACCAATTTGTAGTCATTGACACATTTTGATCAAATGTGTGGATGGTATGGTAGACAAGAAGCACTAATGCTGTTGGTGTGTGTTTGCATGCTGTCTTTATGTCCAGGTTTAGGCTGTTTCTGGGGAGCGGAGAGACTTTTCTGGCGGCTTCCAGGTGTCTACACCACACAGGTGGGCTTTGCCGGCGGCTTTACACCCAACCCCAATTACCACGAGGTCTGCTCAGGTGATACACTCGGGCACCTCGTGTGCGAATGTGCACATTTTCACATATGCACGCCCTTCAACACTTTGATATATGTTACCTGATCGTGCTCCATCCCTGTGAGGAGGGGAAGTGGGTTGGCAGGACATTTCTCTGTGAAATCAGTCAGGGTTCAAGAGACCAAAAATTGCAAAGGAAAAAGATACAGAGTCGCGTTTTAAGTACAGCGCTCATCCTCTCGCCGCCTTCCCATTCATCTGCAGTCAACTACTCAGAATGCACTGCTCCAGATGGGCTGCACCCCCCCACCCCCACCATCCCCCCCATGACCTACTTGTAAGGATTGGGCTCTGTACTGTGCTGTACTGCGGCGTTTTTTGCCAACAGAGGTTATTGTGTGTGAAGCGCCATAAACGGGCTTCTTTTCCATGGCGAACATGATGTTGGAGAAACAAGCTTGAATTCGGTGAATTTGCGATCAAAAGCCCTTCAAAATATTTGGCTCTACGTCCAAATTAGTTTCTGTTCGTTTTCCATCATTGTGAGATTCAAATACATTCATACAGGGCGATATGTAATTCAGAGGAAGATGTCTAGCTCGCTCTTATTCTGCGTGACCGTCTTGTGTATCAGGAGTCGTGAACTGTTAGTTTGGGGATCCTCCATTTCCGAGGGCGCATTATTACATGTAGGCATGGAGTCTAGGTGCAGGTGCAGCAGGGGGGACATGGGGAGGAGGGGTGAGACGCTTTGGGCTTCCTATCTGTCTCTCTCTCTCAGTCTACCGTGGATGGAGATGGAGGCGGATGACAGAAAAAGAGAGAGACTGAGAGCTGCAGCAAGTGAGGAAACGGGTAAAATAAACTTTTGAGGGGAAAGAAAATGTGAGAAAGAAGCAGAAGAGAGAATGGTTGCCTGTCCATCGGCTGAGAGAGTGCAGGCGTCGCTCCAGTGGCCATGACGGAGCAGAACACTGCGAGGCCATGAGACCGAGGAGCTGTCAACACAGCCGGGGCAGGACAGACAGCTGGACGGACAGACAGCCGGACAGAAAGAAGGGGCTGATGGAACTGTCAGCAGAGCCAGGGAAGGATGGAAGGACAGGCAGATAGATAGGTGGATGGTCTGACGGACACAAATGGGAGAGGTTGAGTTGCAGTCAAATTTGTCTCGGGAGGACAGACAACAGAGACAGCTGAGAGACGGATTGAAGGAGATGTTTTTACCAATCAGCATATTTTATCTCGACTAATTCACAGCTTTTGCAATATAGAATCAAGAGTTGATTTTGTTACCTGTTGTGCTTAAGCTCGTCAGTGTGGCATATCCAACAATCATCATGCCTAATGGACAAAATAGGTTGCTGAGGACTCTTCCACTGCGGTGGACTGCAGACCCTTTTGTCAATGTCACCTGTTTTGTTGACCCCACAGACAGATATAACAACACCATGCTACTTCTGTCTCTCCTACTTAGAGAGAACAGTAACTACTCTCACAACCACAAGAGCTTTGTAAGCAAAACTTAAACATAGGTCATTTTAAATGTTAAAACAAGCGGCAAGTGCTGTCGTTTTTCTGGTAAATTTCATTCTTTTGATGAAATCCAGTTCTACCGTATCCAACAACAGAGAATAATTAAACAAAAAAGGGCAACAGGATGTCATGGTGATTTGGGAGGCCATTCTGACCCAGAAGGCTGTTCACCCTGCTGAAGTGTCCTTCAGCAAAACATTGAATCTCTAGCAGCTTTAGTGGCATCACTTCTTCATGCCTTTCACCCCCTTCAGATGGGACAAGCGTGGAAAATCACAGTGCGTGTTATTTTCTTTTCCAGCAGGTCTTGACTGTCCTTCAGCATGACTGCTAGCCTACAACCAAAATCAATGTTGGCTTTAACCACAGCAGAATATATGCATATGGTGAGTCTGTGTATTGTGAAGGCTGTCCTTGCCAACCTCAGTAGACAATTGGTTGACAGCTCACCTGGGCCTTTGGCTATATATACGTGGCACATCACTTCCTCTTGCCTCTCCCTTCCTGCAGCTGAGGTCCACCCTACAGCCTCCTCTCTTTGTTTTTGCACATTCAACACCTCCACAGTCCACGTGCATCTATGCATTACTTTAAGGCTAACATCGTGGACTTCCACTCCCCTATTGTTCATATGTGTTAACCTTAGTTGTAATAAATTCCTTTTGGATCATTTGTGGATAACCTTCTCGCCACATTCTTTGAGCCAGTTTGTGACATAATGTACCTAGTAAAAAAGGTAGACTTTTTTTTACATGTCGGCATTTTTATTATTAAAAAAGATGAACGGCTCCAGCAAACACTGACTTATATATTGTCAAATACTCATGACAGACTGCTAGCATCCACTAAAAAGTGTGCATTAGGTAACTGTTACAAGAGGTGAAGTCTTCCATATTCATTTGGCATGAGATGATCCTTTGTTCATTTCATGACAGAAAGTGGGTCTCAGGCCATATGCATGAATTTGGCAGCCTTTCTCCTATTGTCTGCAATGAACCTGATGCATCTATCTGTGTGGGCATGTCTTTGTGTGTGTGTTATACTCTCTGTGTGTGTGTGCGTGCGTGTCTGTGTAATGTGTGAGAGTGGGGAATGGCTATTGATACAATCCTAACGCTTCTGTATTTACATTCAGCAAAGGTATATATTGTCGTTGAGGTGTGTGAGTATACCTTTTCTGCTGTGTGTGTGTGTGTGTGTCTGTGCCCATACGCCTGCATGTGAGACCTAAAGCCTTCCCCAGTTAGAAAATGCCTGCAGGCAGCTTGTTGAAGCTTTGGGGTCCTGGCAGCTGCACACAGGAGCGAGTGTCTGTGTGCTTTTGGCTACTTTCACCATAAGCCTTAACCTATACTGTGCCTTCTCTTTCTCTCTCTATCTGCACCTCTCTTTATCTTTCTTATCTATTACTATCCCATTGTGCCATAAGTGCGGATTCAACCTACCCGGGCACATGCACTCAATGTCACCTACACCACAAACGAATGCTACTGAAAATATCGGCTTTGCAATCTTCAACATGCAATTTTTTCCGGTTTGACAAGACATGCAGACATAAAGATTTTGGTGATAGTCAATTGTTATGTTCAACATTTTCAGGAGGAAGCAATGAGTGTACATTTCATTCAACTTCAATTTTTAATGACGAAGGTTTTGTGTTTAGGTCTGACGGGTCACGCCGAGGTGGTGAGGGTGGTCTTCTCCCCTGAAGACGTTGGCCTCGAGGAGCTGCTCAAGCGCTTTTGGGAAAGCCATGATCCTACACAAGGTAGCAACATGCACGTGCACACAAACCCAAAACTTCGCCCTCAAGTAAGACCCATCCCAAGGGTCACAGGGTGTATTAGAGCAGAAGGATGATGCCCAGACGTGTGCCTGCGTGTGATGGGGGGGAGGTCTCATGGGTGTAAGTCAATGCCAGACAGTGTTAATGTGTCTGAGATCCAGCCATCCATGGAGAGGCACACCAGTGTGGGGCATGTTCAAGCCCTAACTGCAAAATGAACCCTGTCTGTGTGCATGGCATGTACTTTATCGAACGTAAACCAGCCTTTTGTCATCCACATCACATAAGGGCTTCCGACTGATTATGATACTAAATTTGTTCCTTTCTAGCTCGAATATTGTGAATTTCTGTCTTATTGTGCATGTGCTTCTTGGGCGGCTTTAATCCCTTGACAGAAATCCTTAAGATGTTAATCAATGGAAACTGGTGAATCTTTGCAAATAGCTATTTGAACACTGGACTCCTCACCTCTCTCCTCTTTAATGACACACGTCTCTTCCCCACCCGTCTCCCCACCCCCCCCCCCCCCAACCTTTCCTTCCAGCGGCGACAAGAACCCCATCTCTCATCACTTCATCTCTTCGAATGTCTTGCTCTCTTGTTTTCTCTGCTCACTGGAGGAGGTGATGTAAGAACATTAATGCACCAGGAGGGCACAGGGATGGTGTGTATGTGTGTGTATGTGTGTGTGAGCGAGAGAGAGAAAGGACAGGCAAAGAGGTACTCTGTTCACTCATATTGAATGTAGGGAGGGGCATGACAAGTTGGGAAGAGATGGATCAAGGATTCATAAGCCCGACCTTCAGCCTTAAAACAAGCTCATACAGGCACACACACACACACATGCACACTCAGTAACGTGTTCTTTTGCATCCGTCATGGTTGTTTTCTCAGACACCGGCCATGTTGGTGCATCTACCACATAAAACTGCATGTTTTCATATGTTCTTCACATTCCACTTCACCTGATCAACTAGACAAAAAAGAGGCAGCAGCGGAAGTAACTATTGGGGTTCATCCATGAACCACATCATCCCGATCAGAGGAGATTCTCCTTTTCACTGTCGCCAAAGGCAGAGACACGTCTTACTACAGGCAAAGGTACAGGTCGAGGCAACACGCCACGGGGCGAAGGCAGTGAGGCCAGAAGAGTAGTCATGCATTTCCCCTGACTCACTCCCTTGTCTCATCTCATGTTTTATTTAATAGCATGCAGCTTACTGACTATGAACAATTTTTTTTTTTTTGTTACAGTTAAGACCAGGCGACATAATAACCACAAGTATAGTGGTATACGAGTATACTTTTTCTTTTTCTAGGAGTGTTACTCCTTGTGCGTGACTTCAATGTAAATCCCCTCCGTGTCCATCTTTTTCCGAGTCTGGGTTCACGTGTAGCAGAAATTCCTCTGATTTGACAAATGTGGTGGAAAGGGGCCCGCTGGCTGTGCCTTCACGCATGCTTAAGCTCCAATTTATTCTGTCCACCTTTGAGTCTGGCTTAAAAGAGAATGGAGAAATTAAGGAAGTTCGCCCTTTTTGCTTTAAACTGCACAGATTCACTAGAGATCATCATAGAAGGAGACGAGCCCAGGAACATTACGAATTCTGTTTTTCCTAACACGATCAACACAGCCCATCCTGGTTTATAGATGCACTCTATGTCGGAGTGCTTGTGGAATTATCATGTACAGATGCATATTCACTTGCATGCAATACTTCCTTTTAATGCGTGGGTGTGTAGCTGAAAGTGTGTATGCACATACGTGTGTGTATGTGTTTTGAGATCTGTGCCTCTCTGCTTTGCTTCAGTTCAAAAGGGTTTAGTCCCAACAACGTGATGTTGGGCTGCGTAAACTCCACCAATCCCAGCCTGGATAGCAACATTAGCAGCCAATCAGAAACTCCCAGCAGCCTTTGCTGTGTGCCCTCTTTCCATATTCAGCAACACTAGTCTCAATCTGCTGGCTTCCCTGGGATGTTGCATAAAGATTCCCCCCCCCCCATTCAACACGCTCCCATATTATAAGTTTCTTATGTCCGCAACTCTTTAGTAACATACCTTCACACGTGTGTGCATGGAAACACTCGAGCACAAATGAACTCCAAACAGTCAAAGTCACACCTTCATGTCGGAGAGCAACAGAGGCTCGAGGGACTTGAACACTTGATTTGATGTATTTCGAATGATCACTGGTGAGACGCAAACACATCTTGCTGTTCTTTCACACACCGCAGATCAATTGCGCACACATTTCCATACTCGAGCATACTGTTCACTTCACATTGTGCACAAGTGCTCATTATGCCTACTCACAGACAGCTTTTCTCCATTTGTGCGTACATGCGGATAGGCAAACACACACACACACACACACACACTGTGTGTGTGTGTGTGTGTGTTTGCTTGTTACGGAACACTTGTTACGGAACATAGGCCCTGTTTCGCACCCTGTATCCCCTGTCCCGTTATATCCCAGCGGAGGAAAGAAGCATCTTATTTGGCCAGTACTTTACCCTGTCAACCTGTCAACTCATCCCTCTTTGTTACTCTACTGCTACTCTCATAGTTGCATTGCCATCCTTTTTTGCTCCTTAACCTATTCAAACATAAGGTCACCTCCGCTACTCTTCTCTCTTTTTCTGGGATTTCTTATGCCTCTTTTCTCTTCCGCCTTTCAGTTCTTTCCCCCATCCATTTTGCACATTCTTTCCCAGTTTCCCGCTCTCATCCTCCCTCATACCCCCCCCCCCCCCCCCCCCCCCCCCCCCCCCCCCCCCTGTCCTCTTTGCAGCGAGCAGAGTGAAGGGGCGAGTGAGCAAACGGCCTGGAGCCCGTCAGCACATCCGCAGAGCAGCGCAGTGAGTCGACCGCTCCCCGAGGCCATCCGCTCATCACACAAACACACTCTCATCCACTCACTCCACTTTTATCTCTTAGTCACTCTCTCCTCCCTCCCCCCCCCCCCACACTTTCCCCGTTCTTCCATCTCTCCCTCCGTTCCCCTCCCCGCTGCCCTTCTTCTTAACAGCCGAGGCTTTTCCCCTCTTCTTTGTTTCCTCCTCATCTCTTTTCCTCTCCTTTCCTTGCTCTTACCTCGTTCCCTCCATCCTCTCTATTTTTTGAAGCCATGCAGTATTTATGGAGTGGACTGCTGATGCTGCGTCAGTGAACAGCGATAGACTCAAAAACACGAACGCACAGCTAAGATGGCCGAGCCGTCTGTCCTCATTTGATAACGTCTTCATGTACATGCACACTCACCCGTGCCACACGGTAACAAAGAGATGTATTAAAGTTTTTTTTAAATAAACAAGTGCAGTTTAAAAAATCTATGATGGTGGCCATTTACATCCACTTGAGCTTTTCCTTTTTTTATTTTGGGAGCTGCGTTGTCTAATCGCTGTATAGGGTATATATTTTACATGTCTTAAGCTATAAAAATAGCTTATCAAAAAGAGTACAATATGGCTTATCACGCAAACACACAGGCACACATAGGGTCAAACATGGACATAGATCAAGCTGTCTTCCATCTGCCAAGTCACACTGGTGGCAGTTACTTTCTGATAATTAAAATGAGCATGAATATTCCCTTATATAATATCTTCACCCCAGCTGGCTGCGACACACGCCAATTCCCTGTTGGGGTACCCCCGTGTCCCCCTGTGTCACCACATCCCTCAATTTAGGGTTGCCACAGCCATCTAAAGCCAAAACCCTGCAGAATGAGACCGTGACCCCTGACCTGTGACCTTTGCCACCCCCACACTTCTCACCCAACCCCTTCCCTCTGCACTGGTTGGCTGAAAATGGCGTGCTCATTACCGGGTGTCAGTTATTACACCCTCACACACGCTGACAGTCCTAATTTATGGAGATTGCGGCACGTGTGTGCACGCTGTGGGGGTTGAGTTATGTGTGTCCATTTGAGTAGGCTGAAGACATACGTATTGGTTGTTCGTATTGTCTTGTTTCATAAGTCTGTTTGGTTTTGATAAATAAAATCTCTCCGCATTTGTTGTGCACTTGTTCACCTTTCATGGAAATAGAAATACTCCCACAGATAAGAGCGTAATTGAAACAATATGGGAGAAATAAAACTAAAAAGGAGGGGCGGGGATAGTGATGAGGAAGAAAGAGCCAAATACAAAGATGGTTACAACTTAAAAAACATTAGATGCCAACCTGATCTGTAATTGTTTATTAGAGACGAAGACCTCAGCATCAGTGTTCTGCATGATAATGACACCAAATAACACAGACAAATGCACACGGAGCCTAAATATTTGCGTTAACTTAAGTGTTGGAAAATTGAGCAAAATCATATTAACTGTAATCGAAATAATTTTTTTTGCTCTGAAATAAGATGTGCAGCATTTGAAAAATCAGTACCGTCCTACAAATATATTGCATGCAGGGAAGTGAAAATACATTTAAAATGTATTTGCAGCAATGCTCATTGGATAATATTTAAGTTTATTTCAATTTGAATATTTTTAAATTTTATTTGATGAAGTGACGGAACATTATGATAGAAACATACATGCATAGAGTACTTTCACACGCGATATCACAGATTTAAATAAGAGGAATGTAACTTATTCTCTCATCTCTGGACTGATTTGAGTACAACGGTAGAACAAGTTCTACTTGTTCGATTTAGATGTAGCTAAAAATAAACAGCGCAAGGGCCAGAGTCACAGTGCTCTGACAACATGCCCAGAACCATGAAGTGATCACGTTAGAGAGCACCGCTCCAGTCGAGAGAGAAAAAACGGAGGAAGAGATATAACAGATTTTTAAAAGGCATGATGAAAGTTACTGCAGTAATCTACATGATGTGCGCCTTACAGCCATATATACACGCATATACACGGTACCATTGCCAAGGCAAACACAGTTCCACTATTGGTTTAAGTTTCCCTCTGAATGTGTAGTGCCCCCATCTGACAGCCAGCAGAGCTTCACTTTAGGTTTTG